CACATGGCATCCGTTGGTGGCGTGTCCCCATCTTGAAAGCCGGCCTTGCCCTCGCGTCTTTCCCAGTTTCCCAAAGTTGCCTTTTGTGGAACCCAGAGTGGAAGCAGAGGCCGAGGTCACACTTCGAGAGGATGGTGGCTTCCTGGGCTTTTCGATCTCGGGGTACAGGCTGTCCGGAGGCTGACCTTCCTGGTTGAGCACTGTAGCTCACAAGTGGACAGGTGGCAGCACCGTGTCCTTCAGTGCCCTTCGGTGCAGAGATACGTTTTAGATTGCAGAGTAAGTGCCAACAGCAGCAAAATGATCACCCCTCCTGCTGCCCCAGTCAGTCTGCAACGGCCCTTCTGTGGTCAAAACGGCACATTCAGCAGCAGCCAGCCGATGGGGATTTGCAAAAACTTCCCCATGGTTCTGAGGAATCTTATTCAGCAGTGTTTTTTGAAAACTCAATTCTGTGCAGAATTCACTCTATAGGAATGACCTCAGTGGTGATTTAAGGGAGGGGGGGAGGAAAATTTTTTTTTTAAGTGTTTTAGACAAATCTCACTTGTCCTTTTTTGTCAGTCTGGAGTTTGCCCTTCACACGGCCGAGTCTCCTGGACTGCTCTCCATTTACCCAGCACCCCTAGGTCTTACAGTGGTTTCAGACTTGCATTCCACATTAATGTAAAGCCTTCCAGAATTCCTGGCCTTCCAGAGTCAGCTCGCCATACAAAGCGACTATACATCACTTGGGTTTGTGATGAAAGAATGGAATTGCAGCTGGGTGAATACTAGAATACCCAAACATGAATTAGACTCGAAAGCATTTGGCAATAGTTCAGAAAAGGAGCTTAATCTGGTTTCATCTGAGCCTTTTTAAAATTTTTTCTCCCCCCCCCCTATTCGACAGCATCCCCCAAGATGTTGTGTCTGATACAGGATCACAGCATAATGGGGGTGAAGCAAAATCAGAGACAGCTCTAAGAAACCAGGGGCAGGTTTATTTCTCTCTAGAGATGGGTTTTCTCTTCTGCTAGCCACCCCACCACCCCCATTCCCCACAGGTTCCAACCCTAAGGTTCAAGGTCATTCACCCATTAGATGAATTCATTATAAGCCCTGCCCCCACCCCGAAGCAGTGTTCACCGTACCCTGACCCCACCCATATCTATAATTAAGGTTAAATATAATCTTCGTTTTTAGAAATGTACCACCCACCCATTACATTTACAATGCTGACTGAAATGAAAGAATATTTCAGAGCAAGATGATTTCAGTTTAACAAGGAGAAAAAAAGTTGGTAATTCGAGCCTGAGGCCGTTGGTTCTATTTTTGATTACCATTCAGTTATAAATCTAATTTGAGATCTGTGGTGCTGGTTCTGTTACTCAAGTTTAATTCATGGCATTGCCTTCTGAGCCGCAGAAGCAGAGTTCAGTGGTTGATCGAGAGTTTGGAAAGCCTCCCCACTTCCCCACAAGGAACAGAGGCCAGCGCTGAGAACGTGGTAGAAAGCAAGCCTGAAACCCAGATTTGATGAGAAACGAAACAAACCCTTCGGACAGAGACCCTCACAAAGTGTGCCTGCAGGTGGCACTTGGGTAGCTACAGCAGGACTAGGTCTTTGCTGGAGAACTGCTTCTACGCGAGGGGAGGCAGGGACCCCCCATCCATGGAACCCTGGCTGCCACAGTCAACAGCTGCTCCTCTTGTGCTCAGAGCGTCTTCAGTCTTGAAATTGTTTTTCCTTCCAAACAAATAAAGAGTGAGGAAGGGGGGACGCCTCTCCCAACAATGCAGACAGTTAAGCAAATATGCTGAGTTCTGGGTGCATGCTGTCCAGGTCAGGTGGGGGTGGGCACAGCTTGTGCCAGTGTTTCCTGGCCCACCACAGGACCCAGTTTGACCTCGGAGCAAGAATAGGCACAGTGCAACACCCTAAAACCACTCTTATCCTATCTGGGTCAAGAGTGCCTTTAAAGGCCTGTTCCGAAAGTAGTAGACGTAGCTTCCGAACTTCACGTTTTTATTAAAGAGCCTTAATGTGTCCTGCAGTCAGTGGAATCTGTACATGTATGTGAATACATCGATCGATGAATGGCTGTGTCTATTTGGGGAGCTAAACTGACGGCCATTAATTTCTTCAGAATTCACAAGAGTCCTTTTTTTTTTTTAAGCCCGTGGAAAATATTTTCCCATTGTCCTTGCTACAGAGAGTTAAATGGGTGACGTAAAGGCTAAACAATAGTAAATGGTCATTGTTCCCACTACAAAGTCTACTCCACAGTGAGCACACGTATATTTTTATCTTCCTTTTCCCCAGTGGGGTGATTAGGGCCCCAGTAAGTGTGAGGAAATGATTATTTTAGTGGCCTGAGAAGAACGATTCTATTGTCCTAGTGAGAGAGAAAAAGGAACAAACAGGTCTAAAGGAGAGGGAAACAGGAATGTGCTTTATGCTTTAAAAACAAAGCTGGAGCCACGAGAAGCATCTAGGCGCTGTTTAGACGTAGACTTCAGTCAGTAGAACACAGTTGATGTGACTGTACATATGCCTTCAAATCAGGGATTATTTACAAAACTGCTCCTGAAATGGTTTTCTTTTCTGGGAACAGTAAGGTCAGTTGGAGCAGCTAGCAGCTGTCTTCTAATGACCATTTCAGTTGCCTTTTGAACAGTGCTGTTGAGCATCACACACACACACACACACACACACACACACACACACACACACCCCATAGCCAGTGTGTCTGTTTGTTTGGAGACTTACTGGTCACATCTACTTTCTTGAGTGTGAAAACCTTTGCCCCCAGAACCAACAAGAAGTAGCCAGCGGCCCAGCTCATGAGAAAGACAAGCATCTCAAGAAATCCACTCTGTCCTTTTCTTAATATTCTCCAAAATTTTTAAAAAGAGGGGTGAGAAGAAATATGACTTACCCTTTATCCACAACCACAAAGTTTCTTAATGATTTCCTTCACGTACTTGAACTCTTTGACATGAAATGGGAGACTCAGCTTGACATAACTCACAAGTATATAGATGGAAATTTTGAAGAAAACTTGGATGTAAAGAAATGCAGACTTTATTACTGAGTTACCAAGGGGGTATTTTAGGTTGCATTTCAAATGTTTTTCAAGGTCCCTCATAGAAATGCTGATGCGGTCCTAGTACTGGGTTCCTGGTGTCTAGGAACTGTCTTATAACAGACTCCCATTTTCAGTTTGTCCTTGTGTAGTATTTTAAAACTGTGTGCGCGTGCGCATGCACACATGTGTGAAATCTGAAGAGAGAATAGTTGAGTGTAGAGGTGGCAGGTTTGTATCCACTGTGTGGTAAATAGGAAGATAGGAGCAGGGAGAATAGCACTCCAAATGTGTGCTTTCAACTAGAATCGCTCCCTGGAAGTTTGCTTTCAAAGTATTATGTGTTTGTGTGGTGCACCCCTTGGAAAAAGCCGTGCACTTGGAGTCGGGCAGGCTAACAGAGTCTGGGAAGGCTAGCCTGTCAGTGGCCGATGAGCTCCTTATATATGACTCATCTCTTCCTCACCAACCCCCACCGCTACCCCCCCCCCCACCTCCTCCCGAGCGCACAGGTTCCCCCTTTATGATATTTAGCTATATGGCAAGGCAAAGGGCAGGTTTTAATTTTTTGATTTTCCAGCTTATGGGTCATATTTGACCAACTGCTTTCTCCAGAAGACATGCCACTTTGTTGAGCTATTTAGGAATCAAAAAGACTGTCTTAATTTAAAACAAGGACCCTTTGTTGTAGTTGGTGACTGCCTTGTGAAATTTTTCAGTTCTCAGCGGGTTAACCAGGGAACAGGGGCAGAGTCATAATTGGCCTATTTAGAGTATTTTGCATGTGAATAGTGTGTTAGTGAAGCATCCCTAAGTCTGTTGTGAGTGACATGGTGATTAGAATTTAGATTAGGGAAAACACATTCTGTACTTTATCAAGGACAGTAATTAGTTCAGTCAGTAAAAGTTGATTACAAGTAACGATAAAGTTAGATTTTTAGCACTTAATTTTAAAATTTCTTTATTAAATAGTAAATTTGTTCTTAATAGGAATGGTAGTGGCCACGCTTGTCCTGTGACATGTGAGAATAATTAAAAGAACAGTGTGTTCAAAGCAGAGTATAATCAGGCGGTGTATAGATGGTGGGTCAGTGTCCTGTGCAGTTTTCAGAGAATGTGATATGATTTGTGTGATCTCCCTTATGTCACCGTTTTTTGGGAAGTTTTTGTCGTCTGACCCACTGTGCTGAACGTGCGAGAGGAGTGGACGTTGTCTAGGGTTCAGAGAAATGTTCAATCTAGGGGGGATGTCGTTCAGCCTCCGGGAGCCCTCAAGAGAGGGTCTTCTGAAGGCCGTATCTGTGCCGGTTAGCTTAGGGTGGCTAGCTCTCTAAAACGTGGGAAGAGATTGTGAGCATTTGCATTTCCCAGCAGTTGAGTTGGTGTGCGATCTTCCGCTACGTCCGCGGAGGGTCCGGCTGCGCCCATGAGATGCAGGACACCCAGCTAGGGGAAGGGCTCTCTCCAGTGAGGCCCCTTGGGACCAGCCTGAAAGTTGTGCTCGGGAGGTGGGGGTGCGGGGAGGGGGATGCATGTCATGTTCCTAACTCTGGCTAAGGGGTGGTTCTCGAGATGGGAGCCCGTGCCTAGCTAAAAAGAAAACATTAGTCTGAAGTCAGTGCCATTTGCTTATCGCATTAAACTGTGGCTTCTCCGAAAAGATGGTGTTGAAGAAAATGCTACTTTTAGGGAATCCGGCACTCGCCAAAGTCAGGGATTCAAAACCGAGAAAACAAAAAGCAACTTGGAGAAAGGGCTGCTTTTCTCTGCTTTTTGTTCTGTTTTCATTGTTTCTGTAGTAGATACTGTTTCCGTATTACGTTGGTTTCAGACCTAACTGTCAGTAAGGGGGTGGAGGTGGGGAATGCCAAGTCACAATAGTGATCATGAAATTAACCATATATGTTTGTCTCCCCCTTTTAACCATTCCAGCAGAGTCTCCTGGGAGGTGACATGGATATGGGCAACCCAGGGACCCTTTCGCCCACCAAGCCCGGTTCCCAGTACTACCCGTACTCTAGCAGTAACCCCCGAAGGAGGCCTCTTCACCACAGTAGTGCCATGGGTAAGGAAGGGATGCTCTCTTTTGGACGCCTGAGGTTTTATTTCTTCTAATTTTTAATTAATACTACCCTCTGCCCTGAGATCTCCTTCCCTTCCCACCCCCTCCACCCCCACCCCCCAGCAGCACACCCCCTCGTAGCAGAGGTGTTTGTGTGGACGCTTGTTTCCAGTCTTCCCTTGGCAGTATGCTTAAAGAATCTTAAAAGAAAAAAATGAAAAAAAAAAAACACCCCCTCCCCACCAAAAAAATCATCGAGAAGTTGAAAGCATCATATTTAACATAGCGGGATTTGATTTCTGTCTGAGGAAAAGGGGGATTGGGGTGACTCTCTGGCTAAGGCAGCAATGTTTTTGTTTTAAAACACCCAGCCTAATTTCAATGGCCTCCTGGCGCAGGGCATTTCAGTCAGAGAAACGGACACGTGGAGGACTGACAGCGCCCTTCCTTTTCTTTCAGAGGTACAGACAAAGAAAGTTCGAAAGGTTCCGCCAGGTTTGCCCTCTTCAGTAAGTACTGCTGCTTTCTGCTGTGCGAAACGCGCCGTGTATTTTGTTCTGCTTTGTGTTGGATGCAAAGAGGGTAGGAGTGGGTGAGGCACCTGCCTCCCAGAGCATTGAGTGTATGTGGAGGACGGGGCTGGGCACACGGATAACCTGCACGCTCAGCCACCTGACCCACGCCGGCGTGATTAACTGCGTATCCTGGATCACTGGGCGGTTATGTTGATATGCAGCAGGTTAAGCTCTGAAGAGAGCTTTGAAAAGGTGCCTGAAGTTCAAGGAGTTGTACCTGTCCAGGGCTTTCAGGAGAATGAGTATTAGTTTCATGTGCTGGTTAAATTCTTTGTTAGTATTATGATGATTTATGGATTTGCATGCGAAAGGAGATTTGTGGAGAGGATTTAGGGGAAATTTACATGGGTTTCAGCCCAGAGTACAGAGAGAATGTCTCCATTTTCTGGAGAGGTTGCTGAGGAAAAGCTATGCAGGTAGCTGCATCCGTACTTGCTTGTGTCTTTCATACCAGGTGACAACCACAAGAACCCAGCTGTAACCAAGGCATTCTGGGTCTTTTTAATAGCTAACACAGCTGAGCACCCCCACCCCCCCTACCACACACACACACACACAACCACCACCACCACCACCACCACCACCCAATGTAGCCAAACTTGGTTGTGATCACAACTAAATGCATGATAGCTTATGTTGCATTCTTATTTAGCTTTTCAAATTTGCGTTCCTAGATAATTTTGTTTCGTTTTGTTTAGAGCTCAGCTATTTCTAGTAATGTCTAGTAATTTTTTTCTTTGCACAGAGTAAAAATAGGATTTTTTACCCTTCTTTCCTTGCTTGTTTCTACTTTTTTCCTCCTTTGTTTACTGTTTTCATTCTTCCCTCTGAGATAGTGTGTGTGTGTAATTCCATGTTCTGCAGGATATTAGTATTCTTTAAAAAGAATGTTAATGAGCCTTATTACAAGTTCTTATCGTTGAAAATAAAATTATATTTATATATCCCAAAATATATTACCAATTGATAAACTTTTACATCTATTTCTTGCTTTTCTTTTGATTGCTAGTAGAATAGAGGGTTTTACAAATGTGCTAAGTTTAGATTACTCAAGCACCTGGGTTTTGGACTTGATTTCACTTCAGCTAATCAAAGGGGGTGGTGGTAGTGGAATTAAACAAATATATCAGAATGAGTCTTATCAGGAATTAAAAACAAACACAACACCCCCCTCCTCCCCAGCATTTCAAATTCTGATTTTCATAGGTTTGGTATATTAGAGAAGCATCATAAAATTATTCCTAAACATATAAAAATATTAAGTAAATAAAGCTGCCAGTAGTGTCTACAATCTTGGACTCCCCATAAAAAGGTCCCTTAAAAATGTACACTGAGTAGTTTTTTCTTGGAATTTCTGTGCCCAGTCGAAATGGACTAATATCCGCCTGGTTCTTATCAAGGTATTTTAAGCTTAAATTAGTGGTGGATTTAATTTAGATGGAAACTTTAGCTTTCAGTAGCTTTTATGACAACTTCCAATGATATAACTCTCCCAACTCTTTACATTTTAAACATGCCTGTACTTCATACACACAATATGAAGTACAGCAAGTGGACCTTTGAATGTTCTCTATAGACTGATTCTGTTTCTACTATCAAAGGCATGAAAAACTTAAAGCTACAGTACTCTTTGCCTCATTGAAATTAGTTTTTGGGTTGGTTTTTTTTTCCTGATGCTAAAATTGGGCAAGAAACTATGTAACTTCTAGTAGGACATTGATGTGGCATTACATACTGTGTGCTCAATCCATGTAACAACAATTTCTCATAGTATGCTGTAAATATGAAAAAACATTAACCTATAGCCAGCTGGGATACTATGGAAAGTTTTACTTGTGTAGTTTATTCTTTGCTTATTAAGACCATTTATGTGTCGCTGATAGTTTCTCCTTCATAAATAAAAATACTGAAGAAGGGAACACTCAGTTTTCAATATTTAGTTTTCAGCTTTTAGTGGTTTGTTTATGATTTATTGTTCTTTGGTAATTTATTTTGGCTGAGTGGTTTCACTGCCCTCATAGGACATTGTTAGTGAACTACCCTTTTATTATTTCAAGGAGGCGAAAAGTTCAATTACCAACAGGAATCATCCTTGTAATTCAGTTTTGTTTTGAGTAAAAGAATCAGGTAGTTTGGACGATTGTATAATCCAATCATCAGTATATGACCATGTAAAATATCTCATACATCTCTCTTTAAAAGCAACACAAATTATTTATTTTTTGTGTATTCTTTGTGGGTATCACAATCTGTGTACCTTACCACAGCACAAAATGATACTTCCATTTGATCCAAAGAGATGCCCATATAGATACCATATTCCATTTCCAGTGATTCTATTACTTCTATATTTTTAGGCCTCTACCACATGTAATATTCTTTTAAGCGCTAATAAAATTATGATTATGCAATAGCAGGTTTTTCTGAAACTTGCTTCAATGTGCACAAGTATTTGTGTAACTGATAATACAAGATTGGAACTCACACAAAGTTTCTTTGGACGTGATGATGACTAGATAAAGACATTTACATGTTTTTGTCTGTACATATTTACCATGATAAATAGTAATAAATCTGTCACAATCTGTTGTGTCAACTCACTTTTCCCCCTCTCTCTGACATGGCTCTCTCTCTCCCTCACATAAAACAAAGAAAAGGAAACGGCAGCATGCGCTAGTCAGATCTTTGTAATGACATGATGTGGACTCTTGGATGTAGGGGGGTGGGCACTTTGACCGCCACTGGGCCAGGTCATCGAGGGGGAAATCAGGGGAACGAGAGGATTTTTCCAGCCCTGCTTTGAAAACACGGCTGTATTTGTGAGTGTGAGAGAGCGCACACCATGCTGACATCGAGGCTTGGGTCTGGCAGGACCACCAGGGTGTGTGCTTCAGGCCGCACGCTGCATCCTGAGACCTGTGCCAATCTCAAGCTGGCCCCAGCATAGGGGGGTGAAGAACCCTGGTGCAGGGCCCGCAGCAGCAGAGGGAGGGCAGGAAGGAAGACTCACCTCCTGAGAACAGAGACCTGTGGTTAGGGCTGTGGTGGTGGGTGCCTGTGTGCGTGCGTGCATGCGCGTGTAAGAGATGGTGAAGTGACAACTCTCTAATTGCCCACCAGAGCCCTGCTTTTAACTGGGCAACATTTTCCTGTTCCCTCTGCACACTTCAGTCCGTCTCTGTCTCTTTCTTGTCGTCTTCAACTCCTGAGTGTTGCTTTGTCTCTTGTTCATGCCAGAATCTGTCTGCGTGACTAAGCTTTGGGGTCTACGTGTGAGCTGCTTGTTTTGCTTGATTTACACTTCTTGGGTTTGTTTCCCTGTTTGTTTCTTTCAACATCTTTCCTCTTCAAATGTTTTGCGAGCTTTACTGCATTTTCCAGTAAATGTCTGTCTTTATATAAACTAATAATGATGAATATTGAATTCACTGCATTACAGTGAAAAACGTACCATATTAAATCTTTTGGGGGAGGTGGTTGGGGCTTTATGTGTATTAATGCAAATGAACGTGAAAGTATCCAAATCTAGGAACTGGTGAAATAATGTGCCATTTGAAAATATTCTTATCAGACCCACAAGGAAAAAAATGGACAGAGATTATCTAGCAGCACTATGATTTGTGTTCATCAGGATGCAAACGCACAAAGCCTTGATCTTCTGGTAATTTGAAGTACTTTAAAATGCAATACATTTTACCAGAAACCATTAGTAACTCTTGCTGCTTCAAACAGTGATGGGGTTCCTTTCCATTCCTAATCCAACTGGAAACTTTCATTAACTCTCTCCCCTAGCCCCAGGCGGGATCCCTGAAAATAAACAATTCTCTGGGGAAAAAAGACATCTCACCCTTAGGAATAGTTCAGGAGCTCTCTCTTCACCAGTGGTCAATTTTCAGACAGCATTTTTCAAGAAAGCTTGTTATATAAGGGGCTTCAAAAAAACTGACAGGAACCAAAGAGAAACTTAACCACTTCACTCTGTGGAGACACTCCCCACCCCCAATATTTTTAATCACAGTTTTACGTCGCTTTTAAATTGTGTCAAACAGTCAGCATTCATGTAGGCAGGTGTGTTATAAGGAAAATTATCCCTAGGACTATAAAGATTTTAAAATAGGATTTGAAGGATTTGGGAAATTTGGGGACTGTAGTGGACATGAAACATGGAAGCTCTATATGATACACCTGTTCTTTTGGTCTTGTCTTGTTTTTCAATTTCCATAAAGGAAAGAGCTCCTAAAATGAAATCTGGAAGGCTGTATGAGACATGCTTTAACCGAAGAGATTACTGGGGTCTGGGAAACGATGAGTCATGCTAAGGGCATGCGTTGTCCTGTCTGTCTGCTGTTTTATAAAACCTCATTTGAAGATTTCAAACATGATACTGAGTTTATAATTTCAGTTTAGGCACAATCCCTCCCAACCTTCCACACAGATAAGTTGAAGAAACCACCAACAGTTTAAAAGAGAAGGTTTTTTTGTTTTTTGTTTTTTACTTTTTTATTAGTAAATTAGAAATTACAAAGACAAGCCTTTTTTCTTCCATGAGTTACCTTCGTGGAAACCCACAGGGGCAGGGCTACCCTATCTTACAGGGTCCCTATGTGTTGGACCAACTCAGTGGCTTTGAATTTGAGAAATTAAAAGAGGTTTTCAGAGACTATGAGTATGCTACTTGCCCTTTGACTTTCAAGGAGGATTGTAGGAATCACTGAGGTGCTTTTTCGTGGCAACATTGAACTTGCAAGATACTGCGATTTTCTTGAAAATGAGATGAATGTGAAGATAATGCATCGTTTTTCATAAGCAAACTCAGTGGCAGCCAGACGAGCGCTCCCTGGTGCAGTGGGCGCAGTGGGTGCAGTGGGCGCAGTGGGCGCAGTGGGAGGCTGAGCTTCATCCATCTGTGTGACCGGACAGGGCCTCTTCAACGT